GTACACGTAAGAGGAGCGTGTAACCGGGTATCTCGGCTGGCTGGCCGCCGGTTTCTCCCGCGCTAATTAGCAAAAGTTCGCCGTGCAATAAACGCGTCTAGTTTTACGTAACCCTGGCTGGACAAACTCGGCGGATTCGAGCGGTTTGCGAGCGTGAGCGCGAACGATCCCGCGGAAATAAATCGCGATAGCCGCGGAAGGAGAGAGAAAGAGAGAGAGAGAGAGATGATGGTGGGAGGGCGAGGAAGGGAGACAGATTACGTCTCCCAGCGTTTCTCGTAAAATTGCTACTAGATGGGTATCGTTGCTCGAGTGATTCTTTTCCTTTTTTTGCAATTTTTTCCAAATTACATCAAAGGATAATTCTATACATCTCGTTTTCTTTTTCTTTTTTATAACATCCCCTTATTTACCATCCACGCTCCCCGTTTGCATCAAAATAAATAACTCGAGAATAACACGTTTATTATTAAAAAATTCTATCGATCTTTTTAAAATCTACCTTATCATCGATCAATTTTTCCACGCTTTAAAAGATCCTCGAGGGGATTGATCACAGTTATCTAGATCGTGTCCACAGCCTCTCTCTCTTCCTGGTGGAATCGTGGTTGCCACCACAGTTGCCATGGGCTCTCGCTTTCCGAGACAGCCTCACCTCTCCGTTCACTGACCATTTATGCTCGACTAATTTTAGTTGAAATCCACACACGTACACACACACACACATATACGCGCGCGCGCACTCACTCACGCCTCTCAATCCCGCGGATCAACCGGAGGAGGCCGCGGATCTCTCGCGGCGCGATTTCGAAAAGTCACTTTCGAAAACCCGATTTGAATCGTTCGCCTCGGCTCGAAATCCCTTCTACATACCTCTCGCCGCGAATCAGACGATTTTCTGTGCATTTTCCGTGCAGAAAGGAATTATTAAGCGACGGGCCACGCGTAACGCCAATCCAAGAGTTCATTGTGCGGTTGTTTGGTAAACAAGAAGCGTCGATTCGATAGTCGAAGATCGGTGAAAATTGCGTCGTTGCGAAAGGCGGGGGGGAGGGGCTGCTCTTTTCCTTTTTTCCGTTTCGAAAGGCGAAGCCGAGTTGGTTCCACGAGTAGTAGTGGGATGTTGCACGCTTTTTTTCACCATTTACTTTATCTCGTTCTTTTAAATATATATCGTATTTTTACTCGATTTCCTTTCTATTTTTATTCTATTCTATTTTATTCGGTGTCGATGCATTCGATGATACGCGAAAAATTCTAATTTAATTCACCTTTGAGGTGATATCGATATATTACGAAAATATTTTCTTAGAAGAAGAGTATATATTTTCGTATCACCAAACTAGTATATTTGTGAATATCTTTATAAATATAACTAATAAAAATGATACATACAACTCACGAAAATTATTATAATTGAAGAGCAATACAAGTGTTTGCAATAATATATCTACCGAGACTCTATAAGCCCAATATGGATACTCTCGAGAAAAAAAAAAATGATAAAACCAAACAAGCACTTATTACTTTTCTTCAGAAGATCATAAAATCAATAATACAGTTTTAGAAATTAGATCTTTAGAAATCAAAAGGAAATCGATGAAGATACGATATATATGCACAGATCTATATCTTCTTCCTGGATCTTTTCACTGAATGAAGCTGGATCGTGAAAGCGGTTGACACGAAATAGTTTCATGAGCTCGAGCACGGTAACGTGTATGTAAATAATAGAAGATTCTAAACGAGAGAAAGAGAAAGGGAGGAAGGGAAAGAGAGAGAGAGAGAGAGAGAGGGAGAGAGAGAAGATAAATGATTGGATCGTTAGCGCGAGCGGCGCGGACAATGATAATTAAAAGTAATTAAGAACCGTGAAATGAATTTCGCAACTGCGCTTCTATTGCGGAAAGAAAGATGGTTACGAGGCGATCCCCGAGCCGCGTTCCTTTACACTGAACGAGATACACGATTCTGCTTTTATCGAGCGAACAAATTATCGCTCGTATTATTGTTTACGAATCATCGCCCGTACGTATATTTCTTGGAATCTTTTCAAAATAGATCTCGCGCGTGTCAATATTTTCAATATCGAGACGATCGAAAGGAAGGAATTAAATATTGTCGTGTAATCTTCCATACTGTTATGCGTACGAATAATTTTTCGAATAATTGAAACTAACGCGTTACTCCATTTATTATATACGCGCTCCATATTCGACGATGTAAAGCGATTTAATGAGCTATATCTTCCTTGTTAAAATACGTTGGATAGGATATAAAAAAGAAAAAAAAAAAGCGCGTCTAGCATCCTCGATATCGAATTCCCGATCTCCACTTCCCTCTTTTTCCTCCGAACTTTCACCGATTT